GCTCAATGCAAATTTTGCCTATATAAAATGCTTGTTATAACTAATTCCTTCGAAAAGAGATATATAATGGTGCAAAAAAGAATATGTCATGAATATCAATGCCTGTGTCTCTCGGTTTAAAAGCAACTTTAAATCTGACATAGTAATAAACCCTTTTTGTGTGTGTATGCTTATTAGCATATTCAGACGAAAGCGCCGGGCAAGAAGGTCACTGGCAAGTCTTCTTAGTGATGTAAGCCAGTCATGCCAATCTTGGCTGGAAGGAAGTGTATTTAGAAGATCTGACCCCATCGCTCCCCTCCAGTCATCAACATTGGAGGAACTGGACAACAGCTATGAGACAAACACACCCATCAGCTTCACCTATGGTTAGAAGGCTTCTAGCTTTGGACTAGAACAGCTAGCTTAAAATATTTGCTTGTTCAGTTTTTGTGAAGATGTTTGTTTCTTTATAGTTCCCACAGATCCTGTTTCCTCCCCTGATAAATTGCCTCCTCAGACTCAGCTAGAAGAGGAGGAGCCTCCATGTGAGTCATGCTCCGCCCATGAACAATTCAGCCAATCAGTAAGCGGCCTCCTGGATGTTCCTCCCCCATCCATGAGTCACCTCAATAGCTATAGCTCATCCAGCAAGACATCAGGTGAGAAAGGCGAATGAAAGAGCTCCTTGCCTACTATGAGTTTTTGATGAATACGGAAAAATAGAAACAGCTGGATACTATTTTAATTATGTTTGTTTCAGAAACTGTGCTCATGAAAGTCCTTCTCCTCATCCTAACTTTGTGCCTCTGCACTGCCATCTCCTCCGGGTAATAAAAAAGTGTGTGTGTGCATGTGTGAGAGAAAGACTGTATCTGAAATTGCATACTTCCCTACAATATAGTAGTAAAAAAAAACTATGGAAGCCACGCAATAAAAGAATAAAAAAAGTTAACTTTTTATCTCACAATTATGACTTTTTATCATAATTCTGCTTTTTTTTTTCTCACAAAGTAATTACTTGTTCAAAAGAAGTACATACTTAGAGAGTATGTGATTTCTGACACAGCCAGTGAGATTTCTGTCTGTTTGGCTCATTTGTTGTGCTTTTCTTCTCATAATTAATGCATCATAATCCTCACAGGTGGCTGCTGGGAGGTGTTTCTGCAGCAGTGGCGTTCATGGTTCTGCTTTCATCTATATGTGAGTAAACAAATTAAGTAAAATAGTCACTATTATACTTACATAATCTGACATATTCTTGAATGTAAAAAAAAAAACATGTAGCATGGGACTTTTTGTAAATTCTATTCATTCACATTTGATTGTTAAAAGTGAGTTACACACCAGAATGAACCAGGTGTTAGGGGAAAGAGACTGAAAAGTTATTATATTTTAAAAGTTACAAAGATTTATTTATTGTGTTAAATAAATTGCTCCAATGAATTGTGCACAATAAAATAAGTAACATATATTAATATATTGGACATACACACACACACACACACACACACACACATATATATATATA